CGCCTCATGGTCTAGTGGAGCGAGAGAGCATCGTTAAACACAGAGAGGGGAGAGAGAGAGAGGGGCACGGACACTGTGGTATAGAACTGTGATTGTCAATTTTAGTACAGAAAGAAATTTTAAATATATTTGGCTTTCTAGGTAACATTTTAGAGAATTTTTAGATGAGCTTCACAAATGGGGGTTAAAGTTGCAGAGTGTAACTTTTCAACGAGAGGGTATGCTATCTACTTGTCTCTATGGAGATGTTGTACTTGGAAATGTATCTAACCTGCATTTATTCAATTACAAGTGTTTTTATAGCTCAAAAATAACTTGGATAAAATGCATTCTTACTACGAGTGGGGTCGCCTTTACATAGATCTGAATTGCAGATCTATGATGGGGTTGTAATGCCTCTGTGTACACACTCAAATTACATCTCCATGGAGACGATCAGGTTGCATATCATCCACCCAAAAAAAAGTTACACAGTGCACCTCACAGCAAGAAAGTCCTGGCTGGGTCCCAAACAGATTGTACAACTTGTATCAAAATAAATAATTTACAAGAACTAATCAATTACTGACCCAAGATAAGACAACCTGACATGAACTTGATTACATCTAAAGCGGGACAAACTTATAGAACAAAACCTTGTCTATCCCAGGTACAACCAAGACTAAACCAGAACTAAACCCGGTCTAAATCTGGACCAAAACCTGGACTATAGCGAACTGTAATGTCAACCAGAACTAATTCAAAACATCAGCATGACTAAACCAGGCCCAAGTGTGAAACATGAATAAAACTGTCTTTAAACTGGATAAAACTAAACTCTTCATATCACTACTAGCCCATATGATACTGTTTGAAAATCACTGCTCGAAATAGATCATATAGATTCAGCTCAATGGATACAATGAGCCTGAATAGATACAGATTAGAAAGGAGAGGAAGGAGAGACTTAAGTGGCATTAGTGAATGGTTGAATCCGCTCCACTTCTTCTGTTCAGTCTGAGCTACAGCCTTGTCCACAAGTGTAAATCAGAGCCAGTGTACTTCACAGCCTTCATTCATCACTGCGCATTACAAGCACTTTTAATTAATTAAATGCTTTGCTCCCATTAAAGACCGGGCTATGGATGCCAATAGCTCACTGTATATTCTCCCCTTTGTTATATTCTGACATGCGTCTTTCTGTAGGATTTAATTACAAATGAAAATTTAGAATGAAGTGAGAATTTCCTAATGGTGTGCAGCCTGTATGATTGTTTACAGGGCCTGTATTATGTTTTTTCTGATCTGTTATAATGCTGATATCTGACAACAGTAATATACCTGGTGTTTTGCTTTGTTTCATTCACGCATGTTTAACAAACAAACCCTGCATGTATATGCTCTCTCAAACAGAAAACACTCTGGAGTACTTCCTGTATTACCACATGACATTACAAGATATGGTTTTGATAATATAACAACATTATAGCATGGATGAAAACTCACAACAGTCAGTTTTGTGTAATATAGGACCTTTGAACAACTTGGATCCATCTCTATGAAATATCAATTCTTCCATATTGTACCAGTGAACCTAATTTATTATGAAATGCTTTTCAGCAATTTATTTGTATTTTTCAGTTGTTTACCTATGTTATGATTTCAGATGTGTTACTAAAGTCAAATTCAAAATGAGCTTTTCATTTTCAGAAAATCTTTCACCTCTTGCAACTTAAATCTGACTTTTGTAAATTAGTACTAATTTGAGTATGTTGAAGAGTAGAGTTCTCATTAATTGAGTATGCTGTTGAGTATGCTGAGTATGTATAAAAGCAGCCATGACAGCCTTGGCATTAGAAGTAGGAGTAGTTGTAGTAGTAGTAGTAGGCGTTTTTACACATAACAGAGCCAAGAACCATATCCCAATATTCCCCTTATAACAGTGGTTCTCAAACTTTGCTTTCACACCAAGATAATATTTGGCTTTCCGAGTACCGGCAGATCTAACCAGACAAGGGCTGAAATAGAGCTAATTGAAACAGGTCTAAAATGAAAATAAACCATGGATAGGGTAGTTCTACATTGTGATTAAGCCAAAGGAGGACTAATGTATTAATGAATTTGTCTATACATTTAAGAAATACTCTGCAGAACACTTTGAGTATCACCAGAGGCAGTACATGTACCTCCGTTTGTGAAGCACTACCCTATAATATTTGATTAGTAGTACTGGTAGTGATGGTAGTAGGAGTAGTTAGTAATATTACAGAAATAAAGATAGTATTTGAGCATGCAGTATATGTTGAATATCAGTGGCCAACTGGCAGTTCCAGTTTTGATGTGATGTGTGTACAAATAGTAGCCAGTGGTATTACCTGTGTACAGAAGTAAAGTAGTAGTATTTTAGCCTACAGGATACAGTGTTCATTGGAGGCCAGCTGTTTCTGTGTAGTAGACTTGATAAATGTGTGTGCAGTCTGCAGCAGCGTGTATTGACAGATCACAGACTCAGGACAGAGGTTTAATTTGAGCCCGAGGAGAGTTTCCACTGTTGGTTTTTCCGCTCCAGGTGATGCATCAGAGCTGTGTGCGGCTGCAGAATGACAGCTACGAGGGGTTGGCTCCTTCAACACATGAACTAGAACAATAGGTGTACAATGTCTACTGAATAAAAATGTGTGAAAACAATGTAATGCATTTAGTAGGGCTTCCATGATTAAAGAAGCCCTACTAAAAGATATATTGTATAAGCAGCTCTAGAGGTCAAAATAAGTCAGAGTTGTGCATCATTTTGTTGTCCGATAATCAGGAAGTGCACAGTTCGCATATTAGCCGTTGTTAGTTTTACTGTGATGACAAAACTCCACTCTGGTCTGTGTAAATTGTGAAAACCCCTTATAAATGTATTGGGGTGAATAATTAAGATACTTTGACTGCATAAGGACAATCATGTATGTCCCTGATTTGCTAATCCATCCGTCAGTCATGCCTACAAAAAATACATTTTAATCAAAAGACTAAAACTAAATTAAACTCTCTTCTCAAAATGACCACTGCTCTAAACAAATCTAAATTCATATCATTCCTGTTTGTTTTTCCCTGATGTGTTGACATCTTCTGTGTTGCATAAAATGGTAATAAGGAGCATTCTATAGCACTTAGGCCCAGACTGTGAGGAATCCCTGCTAATTTAATCACAGCTCTCTCTCTCCCTGTGTCTGTGCTGGGCGAGACAGCAGACGATGGCTCATGTATCGGCCTCATTTAGAAGCTGAACACTTTGGCATGATTCTTCTGTGAGTTGTTGTGTTTCCACAGACCTGATACAGACAGGTTTAACACGTGGAAATGCAGTTCATGACAGTACAGTAAGTGTGTTTGAGTCATGCAGACAGAGCGATGGAGGGACATGGTCACTGTGCTTCATGTGGAGATGTCTCACTAGATTATTCACAGACTGACTGAAGAACTTGGTTAGATGGTAAAGATATTTTATTTTAAAGGGCCCATATAACACTATTTTCTAATCTCTGTTATAATGTTGTTTCCTCATTAAAAACATACATGGAATAGTTTCTTTGTTTCATACAAACAAGTGCTCCACTGTTTTTTTAAACTTCATATACATTCATATACATTCACTAGAGTCATTTGAATGCCAATCTTTACTGAACAAAATGTAAAGGGTAGTCGTAAACTACCATTTCATGACTTGACAAGATGGAGTATTTCAAGCTTTGGATAAACTAATAATAAAGGATTTCTCAAACATTTGTGAATGAAACAAAACAGAACTCCAACTTTTGACAAAGTAACAACATTCCAAAACTCAAGAATCCATTTTGTGTAACATGTTTGATTTAGGGGTGGCATTTTTTGTTTTATTTTTGTAATGATATTCAGAAGAGTCTGTTATTGCAATTTATCAAAAATGTGCTTAAACATGCCTGTAAATGTCCTGTGTAAAAGTATCTCATAAAACATAAATAGACTGTAAAATGAACCAAAAGAGAAATACAGAAGACAACATTATGTCACATTATTTGCTTATTTTATATGGCAAGTTTATTTATTTATTTATTCTTAAAATGCTTATTTTTCTAGACAGTATTCTTCAAAGGAATAATTAATGTATCAGTAGAGAAAGCCACTTACAGTACGTTTACTTTTGTCCTTGTTTTAATCCTGTCAGACCTGAGTTTAGCCCTTATGAACACTTGGTTTGGTCCTGTTTAGTCCTGGTTTAGTCCAGGCTTAGTTTCATTCTAATTTAGTTCCAGTTTTGATGCGGTATGTGTGCAAGTATTGACCCACGACTACAGCAATATGTCAGATATACGCTATATATAGAACTTCACAAGCTTCTCAAAGCATTTTACAGTAGTCTTTTACTAATTTCTTCCTCATTCATTCTCTGGTAGTGAGCCAGCTTTGCCCAGACTGAGCGACACGGCTGCCATGATGCAGCAACAGCATTTCTAACCAGTGTTGATCACAGAACAAACAACAGGAAAAACACTTAGATGCAAGATACTGCCCACTCTATTCAATGCCCCTCATAGATCCAATGAAGAAATATGAGCACATAATTTGTGCTATTGTTTAGAATATACAGTATACTTTTATCATAGTATGTCCCCAGAGCTCTACGCCTTATCCTTAAGGCCGAATTATAGTTCTGCATCGACTCAAGGCATATTGCCGCCGTAGCCTTGTCACTATTGTTTTTGATTTATGGATCTGCGTCACCGCCACAACGCTAGGAGGCTAGGATTGTGTTCGTGCAGCAAAGCGGAGTAACAGAAATGAGGACATGAATATGTAAATGGTCGCATTTATAAAGCACTTTCAAGGCACTCTAAGTGATTTACATCAAGGAGCCACTCAACAACAACAGTATTATCTGCGGGAATCTTAACATGTACATGTCTCCTGTGTGAATGTATGTTCCGTTAACATGTCTGGTCCATATGGTACAATATCTCACCATATACCTTCTGCATATCTTCTCTTGTTCCCAGAATTCAGAAGCAGCAGAGGTGACCCGACCAGACTCCCACTCTTTAAGTCTCAATGGCCGATCAGAGCCACCCCAACCCCACAGAAAACCCAGCCTGACCTCCTCCACCTCTCACCGGGCCCCGTCTAAGTCTAGTGCCCCCCCCTCACACCCACAGGAACCGGCCTCAGAGGGAGGCCTGACCACCACCCTAGAGCACATCATAGGTCAGCTGGATATCCTCACCCAGGTAAGCAGCACAGCATGTACTCTTCTTTTATGACAAACTGCATGTACTGTACCAGGCCAGAGCCACCCACTCAGAACACACAACAAAAGCTTCCTTCCACTGCAGCCTACGGCCAGAGGTACGGTTCACGCTGAAAATCTGAGTTCAAATAACGTAATATGCCCACTGGTTAATACTGAATTCAACTGGCTGCTTAAACAGTGAAAGAACTTACAAATAGTATACAGTAGGTTCATAGTCCTTTAATTTTTAGTCGATTAATGAGTTGGTGGTGTGACCAAAATTGTATTAGAGTTATCTTATTTTTTAGTATCACAACCCTAGTATACAGATGGTGTAATTTGGCCAAAATTCTATAAAATATATTAAATTGAGGCTTTTATTTAACCTTAATTTTACCAGGTAAGTACTTTATACTCTCATTCAGAATCAGGGGAGGACTGGCCTGAGTAGAAGTCACATATTTGAGAAGAAGCATCACAATACTACGTTTATTTGACAAAATGATCAAACAACGGCAAAATCCTTAATTCACTTTATTCATGCCGTTTTTATTGACTTCAGCTTCTATTCTGTGACCAGCATTAATGCAAAACAAATGTGTCACATAAAAACTAATTCTAATTACATATATTGGTTCTATCATACAAAATGTACTACATTTTGGCCATGATAAAGGTCAAATGTGATTTTTTTTTGGCACTTTTGCAGTTCATTTTGTCATCAATATTTAACCTCAGTTACTTGAATATTCTTCTCAAATTATAAAAAAATTTTTTTGCCAATACCATTCATTTCTAATTCTAATCTTCTTTTAAAAGCCATTATAAAAATCCAATAAAGACAATTTCTCAACCCTTCACTGCCTAATATAGTACATGTCTGGCTGGAGTCAGGGTGCTACTGCTATTGTGGCCACAGAGTAAGGACAGAGTCAAGCAGAGATGCCCCCCACTGCCACCCCACCCACCCAGTGCCTCCCCTCTGCCCCCCCACAGAGCTCCCCCTCTCAGCTTGAGTGCTCTGTGAACGATGAAGGCCAGGCACGGTAGGAGTCCAGACTAAACCAGAACCGACACAACTAAAAATAGATTATCCAAGAGAAGAAGCAGAGAGCGCCACAAACCAACTAAACCATTTTCAAATCCGTTTTAGTGTACTTAAAGGTTTGAGGAGATACATTTGATGGTTGGTGCTTTGGATCATCTGGGAAAGGAAGTAGAGAAAGAAGCAGTTATTCAAAGTTGCAGCTGCCTGTTAAGCCTGACATTTTTTAAGAGCAATGGTATAAAAGAAAGTTACAGTTCTGAGTTTGCCTGTTCTCTCTGATGCCTTAAGTCCACCTCAAAACTATCAACAAACTTGTATGAACATTATTATCACAGATGTCTCCTAATTATTCACCAGGATGAGTATATATATGTGCTTCACAACTTTCAAAGGCCGGATCGATATTTGACCATCACTGTAAATAGATGCATACGGCGCTCTTATTCCAGTTTATACATTCACTTATATATTATGTATAACCATACTCGGGAAAACTAATATTGCTCAACTACACAGTAAAAAGAATACCCAAAACAAGGAAGTACACATATTTATTTACGTTAGGTTCTTTACTACAGGCTTCCAAAGAAAGGCTAAATATGAGGGAGTACAGGGCAATGCAATACATTTTAATGATTGTTTTATGAGTTATACAAAATGTGTGCCTGACCACTGTTCAAATCAAGAAGGGTCTGGAATCGGACAATAAGAGGGTGAAAATCCTACGTCTTGATTTGAGTATCCAATCATAATGTGTATAATGTGTCTCTCAAATATTGAAGACATCTCCTCTTGAAAATTCTCATATTGGTATTCTTGCTGCCTCGATTGTTGATTTTGCAAAAGTCTTTATGTTTTGTTTTTTTTTTCTCCTTTTTACATGGAAGGAGCTATGTTTGTTTTTGACACAAATGAAGCATGCGTCTCTGATTGGTTAATCCACCTGTCAATCATGCTCTCTGGAATTAGGGAGACAGGATATGTCTCCAGATCCACTGGCCTTTGTAAAGTTTTGTCAAAGCGTGTTTTGTCAAAGTGTGGCCAGATAACCAAAATGTCCAGTTATTTAAATCCAATCAGTGCAGGTGATTCTCTCTTGTCATAAAAATAATGCCAGGTTGTTCCTACCATATGCTTTTTAAGTTCTATTCAGTTAAATTATATCTTACAGCGTGAAGTCCTTTTGTTGCAGTTTGCTATCAAAACCACTTCTTGTTTCATCCATCATCAGAAAATCTGTAGTTTTAGGTTTCCTTTTTGTGCAAACCTGTATCTCTTAGATTACCACGTCCTCCAGAGTTTTGGCTAGCGCAGCAGCACTCCCTTTTCTTGTCCATTTCACAAGTCTTTTTGGGTTTTATTTTTCACTATTACAGCTCTTTGTAACTGTAATCCTTGAGACTGAGGAGAGACAATGAATTATTCAGCACAGACTGGAGCTGGCTCCCTCACTCTGCTGCGTTGGCTGATTTCACTCCCAACATTTCACTGCTTTGACTTTCTATCTTTCATGAAATGAGGATATACTGTACTATAGGGGTGTCAAAAGTATTGAAAATCAGATAATAGTATCGAAACTAGATGCTAATTTGAGCAGCTATCGATACTGTAAAAGTCATATTCACAGGTCAGAAATGAACCTGTCCTGAATAGCGTTACAATTATCTTGAGCTGTTTCAGAAGAAGTGTAAGACCACATAGAACAGTGTACGCCCATGGACCACAGAGACTAGATGGTTAAAGAAATGTTACATACAATTGTCTAAATAAAGAGTATTTTTAATTATTGTAAGATTTGGATTGAGTATTGAGTCTATTCCATAATATCAAATCGAGATTAAAATTTTAGTATCGTGACAACATTAGTGTACTATGCTTTGATCAAGGCCTTAAAAAACTAAATGATTTAAAAGTATACAAGAATTAACTGCAATAATTGATTGTAATAATTTGCTTTATAAATGTACAACTAAAGGCTGTGTTTACACTTGCGCACACCACATCAAAATTTGGACTAAAGCCGGACTAAAGCTGGGCTAAACCAGAATTAAACCAGTACTAAACTACATCAAGACTAAACTGAGCTCAAACCAGGACCAAACAAATCAGTGTGAACACAGCATAATTGAGCTCAGTTGGGCTGTGATTTTCGTGGGCACTGAAAAAGAATGACAAGATTGAATTTTCCAAGAAGTGGCAAATGAAAAAGAACCACACCATTGCATTTTTAAGGAGCCTTTCACTGTTATGGTTGTCAAAATATCTATACCCAGATACTAATCGATAGTATTGTGTCGCTGTGATGGCGACATGGAGGAGCGTCTCGAGCAGGGCACTGTCTGGTCCCTACTTGCAATGGCGCTCTGTCTGCAATTTAAGAGCCTAACAGGAAGTTATTTTTGATTTAATTGATACCAAAACTAGTATCTAAGCTACATTTGAAGGGTGAATATTACACAAAATCGACTCTTGTGAGCTTTAAGCCATGTTAGAATATTGTTACGTTATCGAAAACATATCTGGTGTTGTGCTTTGTTTCATTCACACATGTTTGAGTAATGGTTTATTTTTAGTCTGTCTATATCTCCAAAGCTCAAAATGCTCTGTTGATGTCATATAGTTGTAGTTAACAGCTACCTTTTAAGTTTAAAAAGCTGAGTTTAAAAACACAGTATAGCACTTTCTGTATTACCACATGACATCACAAGTTTATCTCAGTTTGAGAGAAGAACTTGTGTGTTAAAAATGTGTGAATGAAACAATCCACAAATCCAGATATGTTTTGATAAGGAAAAAAAGCATTATAACATAGATCAGAAAATAAAGTAATATGGGCCCTTTAAACTAGTTTACACTGAAGAAATGGGACAAAAATGATAATTGGACCTTTACTGAATAGTTTTTCAAATGATTATCAGAACTAGTATAAGGTCACACTGTGGTATTAAATAAACGACTATTATTTTGTGTTAGAAAAAAATGTGTTTTTAACAATCATCATGGTTTAATTTGGAATTTTACTCATCACTATTCAGTTATTAATCAAGTCATTGGAAGAGAAATCATCATGGTGAAAATGGGTAGTTGCTTTTTAAGTTTTTAACTTTTTGTATTTGTGGCTTCCTTGATTACTACAATGAATAATCAACACAAATTTGTACCACATTAACAGTCTTTCTTTTCCATCGCTCAATTATTTCTGATTAAACATTAAGCCTTACCATGAATGTACTTTATATTTGGATCCGGTCAAGCAGTAACAGAGGGAAACAGACAGATTTTTTACATTCAAATAGCTCTTATTCAGAAACTAGAGGGACTATTGAAATAAGTAAGGTATCAGAATGTAGGAAAGAGTTAACACTCCAACAGGGTAAAGTTAAACCTGTGATATTCTTTCAAGTTGTTGACAAAAAATTTAAAAAACTCATGTCGGTAACGGAGGGAATGAAATATGCAGCACTTTTTGGGCAATAAATCCAAACAGTGATAACTAGCGGTTCTCACTTACATATCCTTAACAAACTGGTTTGAATATTTGCTTCATATAGTTTTCTACCATATGGTACAAGATTAGGTTGAAAAACCTCTTACTTTTTGAATAATGAGATTTTTTATTAAGAAAGGTCATGGTAACGGAGGGAAAAGTAACGGAGGGAAAATTGTGCAAGCAAGTAGAAGGTGCATGATTTTACATCATTTGTCAGTTTTTTTCTTCTGAATACTTTAATATTACTTCAAAATGAAAGGTAACTATTTCTATAGAATATGTCAGTCCTTCCAAGCACATTTTTATCATTTTAAATAATTTTTTTCTGAAAAATCATGTACCTTCATCAACAGTTCAAAGATCGAATAACACAAGATATGATGAAATACATCCAATTTATTTACATGATTTGCAGGTCTTTGAAATTTGGGAAATATTTTTTGTTCCATGTTTCATACAT